TTGACATATTTCTTGAGGAACTGCAATGAACTATAAAAACTAATTTCAATTAAATTTTAAAGTAAAATTTATTATTCAAAAAACGCATACGCGAATCATTTGCAATCTAATAGGCACAAGGTTTCTAAAGTCAAAGCTACTCAAGAGGGTAGATAATTATGCTTTATTTGTTACTTCTGGAAGATCGGTTGTTAAACTGTCTGTCTAATTAAATTACCAATCCTAATATTCGGTAATTTATTCACTTAGGAAGAAGAAACTCCAACAAGCTTACACAAAGATGGAGACACTCTGTGGGAAGAGCGCAACAAAGCATTGAAGAGGTATTATTGTTTATTTTTAAAAAGTAAGGATACGGCAAGAGGATGCCGATAAAAAAAATTATAACTTCCGTACGATTAGAAGAGATTGATTGCCTTTTCTGCATCCATAAATCCAAATCCTTGACGCCAATATGACGCATATGACTAAAATTCATAGCTTTTTAATCCTTGATTAATATTTAGGCGAAAAAATTTCTGTCGGGAATGTATGCCTGCATATACTGCAATGGGAGGGGCAAGAGTTTAAGGAGTTTTGAAGCACTGATAAAGCATATGGTATGTAGATTATCACTTCATTATTTTTGTTTGTCAAATTACACTGTGTTATTTGTTTAATCATTTTTACAACTCGGATTTGAATTAGATCGATAAAGGTCATTGCAGGATAGCTTATGATAGAGACGAAGATGTAATGGAGATTGTGGATTTTTATGATTTTACTTCGTTGAGGGGAGCGAAGAAAGATGGGAACACGTCGATAATGAGGAATGGGAGGATGTTGAAGATGATGTATACAGTAGTGTGAGCAAAAGTGAACACCTCTTGAGGTGTCTAACATATTCCAGCATAGTTTAGGCGATTTGGTAATTTTTCTTTGCTCATCGGGTCTTCTTCTATTCAGTGGTTTAATATACGAAGATGATACGGAACTAGTGTTACCCTCTGGACATCGTTCGCTATGGAATATTACAAGCAATGCCTGCGGCCTGAAGAGGTGAGAATTAATGGTGTATTGGTTTTTCAATACTCTAATATTGACGACATCTTTATCGTTAGGAACGCGATTCTGGCATCATTAACCGTCTCATCACTCAATATGGGGAAGTTTTGGTTACACTCGAAATTCTGGAGGTTCCTTGCCATAAAAGGCAGTCAAGTCAAGTGATCTCGTGCCACGATTTTCCAAGATAAACATCGTTTCGGCATGAATGCCAATAAGCTACAACGTCATTATAGGGCCCAAATACTGTAAACTACAAAATACATCTATCATAATGCGTGTTTAGTTTATAATAAAATTATGATTTACAAATATAATATATTGGTCGTATTTCTCACGGGATTGCCCGTTATTTTTGCTCAACATCTCGCGTATAAACATTGAACTCAATTTAAGTAAGTTTTTTTATATTCTTCATCCTTTAAAGGTGGATCAGAAAAAGATATCACCTCAATAACCAAAATTTATAAGGGATTGTAATTTCTATTCTTTCATTCTTCATTTATTAAATCAGAAGGGAAATTTGTAACTGAATTTTAAGGAAGCTATGGGAAGAAACAGACGAGTAGGTAAAAGAGACATATTAAAATAAGCACCAGACACTGTTTCTTTGGATACAATTAAAGCTGGGATATCTAGGTTGGTGATTGTTGGATTATATACAGTAGGGACAAAAAAAATTGCCTTTTTTCAAATTATTTAATTTAATAAAGAATTATTCAAACTTAAAATATAAATACTTAAATATCTAAAAATTAATTTTACTTGAGACTGTTTTTTTTTTTTTTTTTAATATAACCCTCTGTCAAGCTAGTTATGTGTAAAGATGGGTCCCTAAAGGAGAAGGCAGGAACAAAGATCAAATGTTCCTCACTAGGAAACATTAAAATTTTTAAATTAATAACTATAAAAAAATTATCCACAATTGTTTTTCATTATCCAAATCATTAATTTATAGCATTTCCTGACTTTTGTCCCTATTAATGTGAAGAGTTATAAATTTTGTCCCTCAAAAAGGGACATAAGTGATCTGTGAAATTTTATATGCTAAATACTTTAGGAACCCATCATTAGTTATATGTGCTTTATTAAACAATTGTAAGCTATATATTATATATGTATTGTTAAAGCTAAATCTTTAACTAACTCACTTGTCAAAGTCTTATATTTATCTAGAACTCTAAGTGCAACTTCAGAAGTAATTTATTGCTTCATTGGTAGTTTGGGTGGAAATCCTTCCAACTTTTAATATCATTATCTGTAGGTCACTATTGTAGATCATTGCATGAAATTCTAACGAGAATTAGAATTCCAACTATTTCATCTCATATTTAATTTCATTTCTTATAATTTTTTCAAGGTTTTTGTTTTTACTCTCTTTTTCTTCTTCTCCTTTCATTGTACTTTTGTAACTAAGATTATCTTGCAGATCTTATTTTTTTAATTCCTGGACTTTCTTATATTTTGCTCTTCTATCAATTCTTTGTTCTTGTTTCCATTTAATAATCTTTTCACATCTCATATTTCAGACTTGTTTCTAGATCTGGTTGCAAATCTTTTTTTGTACTTTTAGAATCTATTTTTTACCATTATTTATAGCTTCTTTCTATGACAATTTAGGTTAACAGCTTCTTTGATTACATCATCTTCTATTAATTCTGTACAAAAGTTAAGAATGCTTAAACCAGTTTGCAAGATTGATTTTATTAGTCTAAGATCTATTAATTTAATTCACCTTTTTCTCTTCTATTGTTGACTACTAGTTGTATTATTTTTTCATCCACTTCCCTCTTATATTCTTGATATAACTTGTCAAATTCTTTAAGGAAAGTCTCAGATTCTTTTTGTCATGTCACTAAGATCTCAATATTATAACTAGAACATTCTAATAGATATTCTATTATCTTTTGATACTAATTGCATATTATACAATATATCTTGCTTACTTGTATAGGTCTGGTCTTCTTATTACTAGCTTGCTTAAGGTAGGTAGTTCATTATTGATTAATTTAACCAAGAAGCTTCTTCTCTGTGAGCTTTTGAAGAAGGTATCCCATATATTTCCATCCTTTACCTTATCCCATGCCAGATCCCATGAGTAGGTTTAATGCTTGTAAACTTGGTGATGTCATTTTGTCTCTGTTTTGTATTATTGTGTTCATAATAAAGCCATTAATCTTTTATTGATTTGTTTGATGAACTGTCATATTGGACTATCTATTACTTCTTCTTGTTACATAGTTTCTGTGAGTATCTTGCTTGATTTAAGACTCATCTATTCTATTGCTGGTAGCTTTAGTATCTCTTTAGTCAGTCAGTTTGCTTCTTTATTCTATAAATCATTAGAGTGGGCTTTAATCTTGATCAATGTTAATTGAATATTTTTTTTCTTTATAAGATCTAGTATTCTCACCCATAATTAAAGATGGGTCCTTAAAGAAGGAAGCAGGGACATAAGTCAAATGTCCCTCACTAGAAAAAATTAAAATTTTTAAATTAATAACTATAAAAAAACTACTCACAATTGTTCTCCATTATTTAAATCATTGATTTTAGCATTTCCTGACTTTTGTCCCTATTAAAGTAAAGAGCTATTAATTTTGTCCCTCAAAAAAGGACATAAGTGATTTGTAAAATTTTATATGCTAAATACTTTAGGGACCCATCATACCCATAATGATCAATTCTTTTCTTTTAGCTATCTTTTATGTATCATTTTCAGTTCTTCTTGCTCTAACTTTTTTCATTTAGAGATACAGACTTGACTATCTGTAAAAATCTCAACTATACTGTTTATGGGAGTTACTAAAACTATTGTAACCAGTACCACCAGTTCTGCCCTTATAAATGAAAACCAGTTTTTGACTTCTGTCTGAAATTTATTTTCTTTTTTAGCTCCTTCTATTTATATCCATACTGCATTCATTTTTGCATTTTCATTTCCATGATCAATTAAGAATCTATCGAAGTAGAAGTTCAGCTTATTCTGTAATCCTTAATTGCACTGAAGAATTTCAAGTAGGTGATTTTGATATACTATACTCCTTGCTTAACGTTGTCTCTGAGTATTTCTTGTTCCCAATCTTCTATTAATACTTGTTTTATTTTCTCAATTTGATTATTTGTTGAATCTTGGATTTCTGGAACTAGATTCTTGATCATTATACTATCTAGTTTCAATAGAGAACAAAGAACTTTTAGTGATTACAATCTTCTAGTATTTTTTTTATGGTTTATTTTTATACTATATTTGTTTCTATTACTATTGTTTAGTAAGTATTCTGTGCATTTAATAAGGACTGTTTCTAGATTATCTTCTGTTTTCTGATGGTTGAAATGATGAATTATCACAGTACATTGGCTATTCTCTTGAATCAAATTTCCCCATACTATTTGTTGATTCTCTTTCTGAACAACTATCCAGGTTTTCTTTCTTTTATCTCTGCCAGGTTCAGGTTTAATACATTTTGATAGCCACTTTTCTTTCTATCTCTTTTTTCAAAGTATTGTGAGATCTTCTATACTTTCTTTAGTTTTGGTTCTTTGTAAAATATTATACTATCCTGGGATAGAACCTTTGTTAGTATACTGAATAAGTTGAATCATTCTCCACTTTCTGAATTTTGTAAGGTTTTGATTTATCAGCTGATCTATATACATTAACCTATTATTTCACAAAGATATTATTGCCTTTTTATATTCTTCTACTATTAAGTATTCTTGAATTGAACTATTGCCTTCAATCTATTCAAAAATATCATTCCACTTTCAATTCTAAAAAGCTAGTCTCAAGTCCTTAGTTAACTTTAAAACTTGTACTATGAAATTTCTTTTATTATCGAGATAACCTAGAAATTCACATGAAAGAAGATTGTGAAGCTCCCAGTGCTTAATCTGCACTTGTTTCAATCTAATAATTGTAGTAAGCCCTGTTGGACCCTGATCATTTATTCTATTATAGAATCCAGTTATTTGGTTTTCTTTTTGGAGCATCCATATACTTTTAAGATTATGTATCTTTGGATGGTGAATCACACTATTGGGAATGGATCTACATAAGGCTGCTTTGTTCTTGAAGAGCTTGCAATATACTGCTATAAAGTTATTATATATTTTTCAGAACAATATACTATACTACATTCTAAACTCTATTCTCAGAATTAATACTCTATTTAGTATATAAAAGGCTTGCTTATCAGTCATTTTCTTGTTTTTGAGAACTCTTATAACAGTATTGATTTCTTTTAAGATCCTTTCTTTGAGTTCAATTTCAGTTTTTTGGTTGTCTGTCCATATTTCCAGGAATCTTGCTTGCTCTCTTTTATCTAACTCTCTAATTACTTCTTTGTTGATTTCTGTATGAATTTATTTTGAGTAGTGGTTAGAATTATTACTAGTAACTATACTGACTTGTTACTATTAATCTAATAATCATTTACTTTATAAAAGATCCTTATTGTTTCTAGAATCTTTTTCATATCTTATTTAGATTTTGCTATCTATGTGATATTATTCATAAAAGCTATGACTGCATATCTCAATTCTAGCTTTTTAGTGGTGATATTATTTAGATCAGGATTCCATGAGACTTCCATTTTGTATTTTTTTTTTTTTTTTTTTAATGGGCTCATACCTAACTTTATTGGATCCCAAATTACAAATTTATATTGTGCAAAGCGTGAATACATGGATGTATATTTGGGGAAGATAAAGATAACGATAAGCTAAAGTTATTCTAAAGCTACTTCGAGGCTTATTGCCCTTTCTTTTTCCAAAGAAAAACCAGTATTCCTAGAGCGTGCTGGTGTCATAAATGAAAATAAAAAATAAAAAAAAGATTGGACAGTCATTTGAAATGTATTGGTTTTGTTTTTTGACATATGCCTGTCTTGTTCAAATTTCCCTTGTGAAAAGGTCTTGGGGAAGACTTCTACTGAATCTTTTACAGAAATAAGGTGAAGGCCGAAGAGGAGACTTTACAGTTTTAAGGCTTGTGAGGAGGGAGTAATCAGGAAGGCCCAGGTGATATATTGGTGTCCGCATGAGTGACTTGAAGTCTTCCAGTATATCATCAATTAAACCCATTCCTATCTAAATATGGGAATACTTACCCATCTGTGTCTCTTATTTCAGATTTAATTCCTTATAAAAAGAACAGCACCTAG